GTTTTCACTTTGATCTATTCTTGTTACTTTTCTATTGACAGTGTTGGAGAAACAAATGTAACTTTGAATCCATATCGTTTGATGTGCTTGGCCCATGAATGATTTAGTCCTGCAGGCTGCAGTCATTGCTTGGTTTTCATATTTTTCAAACATTTCGAGTACTTATATCCCACTTCCTTATTCTATTTCGTACTGACTTTTGCAACAGATTATAGTGGTGCAATATACACCCCGTTTTCTTTTGTTATTGTTGTAGGCTGAACTTCATCTCACTTTATATGTAAGGATGCTTTATTTGTGTTATCTTTTTCTTTCTTATAAGTCATGTGCTATACATTTTGAAATGTATAATTCAGAGTCACATGTGAACAGATGTGGAAATTAAGTTCCTTTTCAAAATTTTCCGGAGTTGTCAATCGGATGAGAAATCGATACTGCTTGTAATGAAAACTAAAATTCCAACCAGTGATGGAAAACGTGTAGTCTTAATTCCATTTCCTCTCCTTCATCAAGCTCTGTTCCTTTTAGTCCTTTTGATTGGTAAATGGGTATGGAAATCAGACTTGAGTAACATAGCTGAGTGAGTTAGAGCATGGTTGCATGCCCAAAAAAAAAAATGTCATGGTCCCGTTGGCAATTGAATTGTTAGTTTTCTACCTATATGATTTGTGTAATGCATTGCTCATGAGCATAAGCAAGGTAAGTACATCATGAAATATTATACGTGTCTTAGTTTTATTTTTCCCATTTGGAGCTAACTTTGGATTTATTCTTGTAAAACCAAATGAATCTTTCTTTTTCATAAAGAAGAAATCTTTGGTGATGTATTTTGAGATCGGCATGGTATTCCTTATATAATATATGTGTTATTCGCCTCAGTTTCATTGAAGACTTGCATTTTTAGTGTCGGCCTTGGACAATCATTGAAAACCTTCTTTATTAACCTTTTTTCACTGCATTTCTGACATTGATAGACGGACGAAACATAAACTTTTAGCAGAACTTGCTTCTGATAGATGAAAAGAATATGGAACTAAACACAATGATTAGTTGCATGACTAATTTTAATTTTATCTGAGATTAGTTTCATGAATGAGTTCCTCCTGTAGATAAAGTAAAAATTAAAGTTCAAGTCTTTTCCCTTCATTCAATGTTATGACCCAAAGTCTCTTCCCAAACTGGCGAGCGGTAGAGGGTGGTAAAGTTCACATCCACGGTCCATGTTCTGATTAATATCTCCATGTTCTGATTAATATCTTTCAAAACCATATTTTTGAAAATGTTCTTGTTACCTTTTTAGTGCCAAAACTACTGTTTTGCCCCTTGCTTTGACAGAATTCGATAATGTAACGTTCAACTATTTTTAGTGGGTGGGGTCACAATGTCAGTTGCCAAATATCATGATTATGTTGAGACAGGAACTTTTTGGCTTTAACTTTATCTGTTGATTGTGTGATCAGTAATCCAAAGATACGATGACAAGGATCATAAGTTTTGTTTGCATTTGATTATATATCCGCAGATTCCTAAACATAAATACAAAGATGATATTTGTACCCGTAAGCTTTACTTTTCACAATTCATGTCTTAACAGGTGGACATGGTAATAATACGAACAGGCACTGGGCATATGGATGTTCTTCCTGGACATGTAGCAACATTTGCCGAGTTGAAACCGGGTTCATATCGGTACATGAAGGAACTGATGTTAAAAAATATTTCGTCAGCAGTGGTTTTGCATTCATCCATGCCAACTCTATTGCAGACATAATTGCTGTAGAGGCTGTCCCTCTTGGTCATGTCTATGCAAGTCTTGTCCAGAAGGGGCTTGCAGAGTTCACCCAGAAGCTCAACTCAGCGTCGACTTACTTGGAGAAAGCTGAAGCGCAGATTGGAGTTGATGTGCCAATGTCCTCAACTCTGCTCTCACTGGCTAGTTTTACTAGTCTTTGTGTGATTGTGGATCTTTGCACTTCCAGTACAATGGGTTTTTGCTTGGGATTGTTTTTTATTTCGCTTTCCTGTTTGGAGGACGGAGGGACTTGATGGGTGGGCTTGTTTTTCATTGTTGTTGTGCTTCAAGCATTTGTTTGCCGTCGTGGCACCTTTTTTTTGTTTACTTGTTGAGGCATTACTGTTAAGGATTCGTGAGGGGTTTCTGGCGGCTTTCGGTTTTGGGGACTGATATTGTGGCTGTTTTTGCATTGGCATACGGCCCGTTTGTGTATCATGGGCAGGTAATACCTCAGGCTCTGCCCTTTTGTTTTTGAAATGATTATTTACAATCTTCATGTTAGTCTAATCTGCTGCTATGAAGCAATCTCAGAGCATATTAACGTTTGCACGTGACTTGTTGCTCAAAGAAAGAATAGATTTGGATTTTTTTTTCATCAAAAATGGGATTTTGAGGAGTCAATACTTTGCAAACAATTAGTAAGAGACTTCTAGTTGTGCCATCTCTTTGAATTGTGTTTCGCGTATATTACTATTGGAGATCAAAACCATCTGGAATCGTAGCTTTATTAAGTTGATTACAACAACAAAGCTTATCCCATTACGTGAGGTCGGCTATATGAATCTTACAACTCCATTATGCTCGGTTTTGTGCCATGTCTTTTGTTAAAGCCAAGTAGTTCAAATATTTTCTTAGTCTCTTTCCAAGTCTTCCTCTACTCCTTTGGCCTTGGGCCTTTGTCTCGTGCTCGCATCTTCTAACCAAAGCGTTTGTATGTTGTCATTTCACATGTCTAAACCATCTTAACCGATTCGCTCTCATCTTATCTTCAATTTCGGCTACTCCAATTTGCCTCATATATCCTGATTCCTAATCTTGTCCTTTCTCTTGTGCCCACACATCCAACGAAGCATTCTCATCACTACTACACTCATTTTGTGTACGTGTTGATGCTTCACCGTCCAACATTTCGTGCCATAAAGCATTGCTGGCCTTATTACCGTCTATAATATTTTCCCTTGAGCTTTAGTGGCATACAACGGTCGCACAACCCACGCGATGCACTCTTTCACTTCATCTATCCAGCTTGTATTGTATGATTGAGGCTCCATCCAATTCTCCATTCTTTTGCAAGATAAATCCAAGATAGTGAAAGTGTTCGCTCTTTGTACTTCTTGATCTTCAATCCTCACTCCTAACACATTTGCACCTTCGTTCCCATTGAACTTGCACTCCATATACTCTGTGTTTGACCTACTTAGGCGAAGTTATTTAGATTCCAACACTTCCCGCCAAAGGTTAAGCTTCACATTTACTCCCTCCTAAGTTTCATCTTTCAACACTATATCGTCTGTGAAAAGCATACACCTAGGAATATAATCTTGAAAATGTCCTGTTAACTCATCCGTTACCAATGCAAAAAGGTAAAGACTTAAAGATGAGCCTTGGTGTGACCTTACAATTATTGGAAAACTTTCGGTTTATCCTTCATGAGTTCTTATAGTAGTTATTGCTCCATCATACATATCTTTTATAGCTCGGATGTATGTTACTCGTACTCATTTCTTCTCTAAAATCCTCCAAAGAATCTCTATTGGGACCCTATGCAAATCTACAAAATACCATGTGCAAATCCTTTTTCATATATCTATATCTTTCTATTGATCTTCGTAAGAGATAGATTGCCTCCATGGTTGAGCACCCTAGAATGAACGCGAATTAATTGTCTGAGACCCCTATCTCTTGCCTCAGTCTATGCTAATTACTCTCTCCCATAGCTTCATTGTATGACTCATTAACTTAATTCCCCTATGGTTCATGCAGTTCTATACGTTGCCCTTATTCTTGTTTTCAAAATCTTATTGAAAAGGTTTGTGAGCCATCTTATGCCTGTATCTCCCAAGAGAATCCACACTTCAATTGGTATATCATCTGAACCCACACTGTTAAGCGGCTTCTACTTGTATTATCTTTAATTAACATTTCCATTTAAACAGGCTCAGAGGATTTGGCATGATCAACACACTGCAAGAAATGTGTAATGCTCCACTTGGCATGATCAAAGTTAAGGTGCAACTCTTTTTTATATACGCTACTTATCCTTTTTAATTCTTCCCATTGGGGTGGGTGCAGGCAGAATAAGCATCTTGAACCTTGACCATCATTGTTAAGTTCGGTTTGTTCTTCTTATGGTTCTGTAGCTTTAGTTGATGCTGTTGGTTCTTCCTTTCAATCATATTTAAATATACTATTAATAACAATATTAAATACAAGTGTTTGTGGTGGTTTAAGTGTATTGATTTGTACATTTAAGTACCCATCTCTGCACATTGTTTCTCATATCCTCTCTGATATGGTGGCGGGGATTTAATTTTCTATGTGTTATAGTGAAAACAGATAATTCATTGGACACTCAAGTACCATTCCTCCCTTTGGTTGAGGTTTCAGTGAAGGCTTTACTTGTCATATCATTAGTAGCTTTACCTGCAGCTCCAAGTGCCGCAAACACGAGTTTTGTTCTGTGCTCATCATCCATACTTGGTTGGAACTGCAAAGAGAGACGCAATTTGGAAGGTAAATCTTTCTCTTGGACTTTTGTTATTTGAAAAAAGAAAAAAAGTGATCTTCATTATGTTACTTGGTTTAGCAGGTTTTTCTGTTTCTCATTTTTAATCTGAAAGTCCCCATCTCATATAATGTAATCTTGACCCAAAAAAAAAATAATGACAATTGTTTCTTCCTCTTTTGAAAAAAAAATAAAAAATTGAAATGAAAAGACAAGAACAGATTTAAGAAGCAAGTAGGTCTTGGATGGCGAGGTACATGTCAACCAACACTCCTGCTGAAAAACATGTCAATTAAGAAAACCAAGTACTGGAAGATTACTTCTCTTCCATGCAAGGCTCATAAAGTTTTTAAAACTTATTTGGAAACTGCGTCCATTAAGTTTTTGCCTATGTTTTGACAATAAGTCATGAGACTCTGAGAGTTAGGTTTTCTTCCCTCTTTTACTGGTAAAAAAATATATGTTCATATAGAGTTGTGTGCCTTCCTATGTTAATTTTCATCTATTGTGGCATAGTGAAAATTCCGGTTGCATTTTTGAGCTGATTTGTTTGGTTCTTTTGGTCTTCAGAGGCAACGAAGATGTATGCATGCATGTGGTTTGGATCTCTTTCCAGATAAGTTCTGAGATTGTTCTCTCGTCGTTTGCTTGTATTGAGTTTGGGCATTAGTGAACCTATTTCTCTTTGTATGAGAGTCAAATTTCTTAATGCATGTTCAATCGTTGCCGAGGATGGTTATCATGGATGAGAATGGGAAGCAGGTAACTTATCCAGCTTTCCTTTTCTTACACTTGTGCTTCTAATCTTTTTCTTACACATGTCTACGGGGTTTGTTGCCAACACTTTGCTTGTATGGACACTTATTTAAGATTGATAAATGATTTCTAACGCGATGATTGTTCTCACATTTGTAGTTACAGTTTTTCTTTGTGCATAAGGACTGCGTATGTTTGTTGACTGATGAAGTCATGCTTCCCATGCTGTATAATTAGGTGCATAAGGACTGTCTATGTTTTGATGATTGATTTGTCCATGTCAGATAGGCCATGATAATTAAAGCTTTCTTAGTTGGATTGCAGGTATAGAATTTAATAACTGCACTAAGAATATTGTCAATGTGTTTGAAGATAGCTTGTGGATAAACATCAAATATATATCTACTTAGAATTGCTTTCTTACATGTATTTTACGATAAATAAAAAATACGACATATTAACTTGCGACCAAAATAATCAAGATACACATAAACGGAACATCTGATCCTATTGGTTTAAAGCATAGTTGACATCGTTAATTAGTATTGTTTCTACCATTGCAATACTGCTTTTATATATATATATATATATATATGTGTGTTGTGTGTGTGTGTGTGTATGTGTGTGTGTGTGTGTGAACAAATGCAAGAAAGGATATGATATTACTTTGGCTGCTAATTGATTAGTTTCAAATGCAAGAAATGACTAGTTTCTAATGTTATATTTTTATTGTTCGGTGTATAGGGAAGGTGCGGGTTCGTGAGACGGGTGCCTCCTTTTCCAGATCGACCACAGGAGAGGTCAATGCCTTGAAGGAGGAAGTGACAACCCTAAAAGGTCAACTTGCAGCCCAGGGCGAGCAAATGAGTATTATTGTACGGGCCTTACAGATTTCCGGCCTCTAAATCCCGATGCCAGCACCTAATCTTGCTCCACCTTCGACCTCCCAGCCACTTCGCCCAGCCGATACATAGTAGTCTGATGTATCAAACATAGAAGACTACTTGTTGTAGTTTTTTCTTTTTTGTTCGAACATCTTGTATGTACATTTTCATATATTTTATAATTAAATACTTTTTTTTTGTTTATTAATTATTGTTTAGAATTTACAATATTTATTAAAAATTAAATAAAAAATATTTTTGCCAAAAAAATAAAAAAGTGGTTTGTGCAACGAAGGAGTAACGTACGTCGCGCAAAGTAGCTTTGCACGACGTAGGATCTGCGTCGTGCAAAGTAGTTTTAAACCAAGCACAAGGTTTACTAACTAATTTTTTTTCTTTTAAGTAACTCTTTGGAATCGGTCTTATTACTTATTAACATAAGTATTTGCTTAAATTTTTATGCTCAAAAAATAGAAGAATCAGTTACAAATATTGAACTGACCTAAAACATAGCCGGAATTGAGTTTGCAAGAAAAGTTTACCAAAAAGAGGTTTTAACTTTATGATGAATTTTGTAGAACTGGCCAAAACCGATTTTACAAATCCGGAGTTAATAGCAAACTGTGTTTG